CCTACTGAACCATCTTCCCAGCTCTGTTTTTTTTTTGTCTGAACCCCCCTCCATCCTATATTTATAAGATATCATGTTTCTTGGCAGTTTTTTGGTCTGACATTGCAATGGTATTTTAAGTAATTTTGATTTTTAATATTATAAACAATTTTGATTTTTATTATTACCAATGGAAGTCATATTTATTATAGAAGTTTTTGATTAAAGAGAGGAGAATTTTAAAAGTCACCTGGAACCTTAACACTCAGGAATAACTGCTAATGGATATTTTATTGCAAATCCCTTCAGGGCTTATAGAAGATTTAAACTATCAATTCCTGTATATTAAACTCTCCTCTACATCCTAGTTGTTGTTCATCATCTCTAGAAGAAGAATTCATCTCTGAACCCTGTGTTTGAAGGATTGAAACATGAGTAAGGGAATCTGAGCCATGTGCCAACTCTGCATTTATGGCCCAAATCCCTTTGAGGATTTACCCTTTACAGAAACCACAAAAATTCTTTTTAATTCTTTCTCTCCTCATACTTTCCCCCTAGACTCAAAGCCATTCTATCCTCCAGATAATCTACTTTCCTAAGAACTCTTCCCCGATTGGCCATACAAACTAACGCATTCGGTAGGTTGCATCTCTCCCTACTAATACCATCCAGGGAAGGATCTGGTGGCAGGGAATAAATATTACCTGCTTTATACCCTCATGGAAACCTTTACCTTCAGAGCATGGCCTATTTGGATCTCAATATGAGTAACCTCGGTGCCCAAATTCTTCTTGAGGTTAGAGAGAGGATAAGATGGTTGATGGACTGCCCACCTGTCTGCTTTTACCATGCCCCAGTATGTGCTGAAGCAGAAGCAATAAGTTAACTTGCAAGTGAGCTGTCTTAGGTAAACAACTTACCATCATGTAACTACAGAGAGCTCCAGCAGGGAGGTGGCACATACATTCCCATCCCCCCACTGCTATTGGATCAAAAGTCTTGGTCAGAGGTAAGCAGCCATCACCTTAGATTCACTTCAGAAAGAAAATTGAAATGTACCACTGACATGGTTACAAGAATGCCTTCAAATTATCTCTAATTCATAACAATAATGAAATTGATCACCAACTCATGCTGATATTGTTAATAAATTTTGAGAGCCCATCCTGCAATTGATCTAGGTGTGTTGGTATATCTCAATTTTGTCACATCATAAACCTTGCTATCTCTTAGAGCTGCACACAATTTCTGCATTTCCAAGCTCTGATGTGTAGGTTTATCATCTCGGTTGAGGCCATCTTTGCCTAGTCATCTTGCCTACCTTATTTCTGGCTCTCTCTTCAAATCTTTTACCATATGACTGGGTCAGAGTGGTCTTGTAGGGACTAAACATTTGTTTCTGGTCATCATGGCTCACTGGTGCTACCCACTTGTCAATTATGCTTAATAATCTGAGCCCCACAGTCTCTCCCCTAGTCATCCCAAGCCTCCAGAACTTTTCTGAAGCTGTTTCGGCCTCCATACTTTTCTGCCCATATCATTCTCTTTGCAAGGTTATTATTTCTGTTTCTCAGAGTCAAGCTAAGAACTCTTCTGTTTTGAGTTCTCTGATGCCTTCTGAAGAACCTCTTTGGTCCACAACTCCAGGAGCAAACATCTGATAAAACTATGCCAGCTGTTCATTTCTTTTCTCCACAATGCAACTACACTGCAAATATTTAAAAGGGATTATATTTGATTCATTTTCATGGCTTTCGTGTCTGAGTAGATGTCTAGCATATGTTTGCTGAATTAATGAGTATAAATAAAACCCTACATGTAGTTTTGGCCGACATTTGTATTCATATTTAAAACAAAATTTCAGATATACTTGTCAGGTGGATCACGTTAGAGCAGGGTGCTTTTTTTCTCGGGTTTGCTCCCCTCTGAGAGGGGTGTGTCACATGTATTGGCAGCAAATGGCACTTCTTGAGGAATATGATTTATTATTGGTGTGTGAGTGCAAGTGTGTGTGTGTGTGTGTGTGTGTGTGTGTGTGTGTGTGTGTGCACAGGAGTGCCTGTGATGGTTAGAGGACAGCTTCGGGCAATTTTGGAATCAAATTCAAGTTATTCATCTTGCATAACAAGACTTTTACCCCTGAGTCATCATGCAGTCCCCTGTGCCTTACCCCTATGGTATTTCTTTAAGATGAGTCTCAAAAACAAAAAACAAACAAACAAACAAAAAACTCAACAAAAAACTCCCAAAAACCAGCACAAGAGGACCTTCAAATACATACTGACAGTTGACACCTGTAATTTCTCTCATTAGAATCAAAATATGTATAGCATATACATGGTAGCATGATTCTCAACACTTATAAAACCTTGCCCTTGAATATCATTTCCCAACTTCATGTAGCCATTAACATGATTTATTAATTATTCTTTCACATTATCTCAGCTGTGTTTTCTTCCCCTGCATGCTGGTGTGTCCTTTCCAGTCTTTTGAAAACATCAGTATTAAAGCTGCTTCTAATGACTTTCTTTTGCCACATATGGCCATATTTACATTACTATCCTGCTAGATACTCTACGGCAATATTTCACAAACATATGCATGGTACATCCAAACTCTGCTGAGAGCGTGTAAAAAATATTCCATATTGGGCTCCAGACTGATTTCATAATATGAAATGGGGCTGAGAATTTACTTTTATTTTTTTTAACTCATACTTTTGTTCTGGGATATAAGTTGAGGTTCACTGGTCTCCTAGCTGGTACTTTTCACACTGGTAATTTTCACACTGGCACTCTGGTAATTTTCACACCTGTAGCCACCTCAGTCCCACTAGTTAGGTCCATTCAACTCAGGCTCTGGGATCAGGCTGCACCAGGAAGAAATAAGAGGGCTTCAAGTGGTTCAGGAGCTCATCATTCACTTGCAGATCCAGTGTGGGTCATAGACTTGGACTTTTGCTCAGAGTTTCAGCTTCTATATTTTAGCATATCCTAGATTCCTTGCTGGACTAGAATACTTTGATGTTTCTTATGTTTCCTTTTGGAAACTGAAGATTGGTTGGTAATTTCCTAAACTTTGTTGTTAGCCTTCTTGCCTAGCCTCTGCATCTGTAGTTCTGTCTTTAATATGGCTTTTTTTTTACTTGTACTTGCTTACACTGATTTTTCATATTCCTGGATTGTTTTATGGATATTGAGGTTTGCATACCCTGTTTGATTTCTCAGACCTGGTTAAGTGTTATTTGACATTCTTTGTTGTTAGTTGAGTTAGATGTTAGCAGGAACTTCAGGCAACTACCTTTTACTTTGTAGCTGAAACACTGGATTCTTTCTTCAGTTGATCATCTTTGTTGTTGTTTATGTAATTTTTGCTCATTAAAATTCCCATTCTTAGCCGGGCGGTGGTGGCGCACGCCTTTAATCCCAGCACTCGGGAGGCAGAGGCAGGCGGATCTCTGTGAGTTCGAGGCCAGCCTGGGC